TAGTATCAATTTATGAAATAACTAAATGCTATTTAGTGAGTGTTTATTATGTACGAATCAGCCAAATTAAGAATAATTTCAGATATTATATATTAAAATAATCAATCCTTTAAATTTAATCTCGCTATATATTTAGGGTTAAAGGATTACATGTTTATACACCAAGCTCCTAAGAACATGCACTAGTATTAAATGTATCTACTTGTTATATGTATAAATACACATATGAAAGTTTTTACATGCATGCACATACTTATTAGTACACGTATGTTGCTAAGTATACATAATAAAAGTGAGGTGTACATGCATGCATGCTAACATACATATAGGACATGCATTCCTGGTGTAAGTTTATATATAGACATAAATATAAAGTGGATGTTTAATGTATTTGCACATAACAAACATGCCTTAATTAACTAAAATAAAACACACAAGTCATTCTTTGTACGATAGCAAAACTACCGTAGTGACATGCATGAGATATAGTAGAGACCAAGCTTAATTAGCTGAAAAAATAAGGAAAACAAAATGAATTAAGTGACCTGCAGGCTAAGTTAAATGTGCAATTCATTTGATACGGTTGTGATGTATTTTAAAATTAATATTACAAGTAATCCCATTTTATTCAGGTAGTAATACGGAGTAAGCTAATTACGACAGATATGCATCAACTAAGATAGTCATTAACTTATGTATTTTCATGGATTTATGTGTAAGTAAATATTACTACGTACAATCTTTAAATGCTAGTAATACATCATGCATGTGAATATTATGGAGTATAATATATGACCATGCATGACACGCACTATGGTTATAAAATGCGTCTTACGTATGCATTGGTTATATAATTTTATTAATCAGCATCTTTAATAGATGGTACTATAGCATGCCGAATCGATATATTCATATATCCATATGCTTAGAACTTAATTTACGTACTTAATGTTTATATGTATGCTTTGATACATTGTTCAACGGGAACAAAGTGCAAGATATCGATGATTTGACCATACCAGATTGTATGGTAAATCGTGATTTTGTGAGAAGGATCCAACCAACGGAAGTTAAAGAGGCTCTGAGGAAGATGGGGCGGAAGAAAACAGTGGGTCCAGATGGCATACCGATCGAGGCTTGGAGAAGTTTGGGAGAGAGAGGCATCGGGTGGTTAACAAATTCCTTCAACAAAATTTGGAGAAACAACAAGATGCCAACGAGTTGGAGAAAGAGTACTCTTATTCCCTTATTTAAGAATAAAGGTGATGTACAAGAATGTGCCAACTATCGAGGGATTAAGCTTATGAGTCATACCATGAAATTTTGGGAGCGAGTGATTGAGCAAAGACTTCGAAGAACGGTGAGGATTTCAGAGAATCAATTCGGTTTTATGCCTGGTCGCTCAACAACTGAGGCTATTCACCTTCTTTGGCAACTTATGGAGAAGTATAGAGACGCTCACAAGGATTTGCATTTAGTGTTCATTGACTTAGAAAAGGCATATGATAGGGTACCTCGAGAAGTTCTTTGGTGGGCCTTAACTAGAAAAGGCATTTCACGCAAATCTATCAGCATCATCATGGATATGTATGAGGATAGTACTACAACTGTTCGTACTAGTGTAGGGAGGACTGCGGAGTTCCCTATTACTATCGGAGTGCACCAAGGATCGACTCTGAGCCCTTTTTTATTTGTCATAGTCATGGATGAACTTACAAAGTCAATTCAAGACGATATACCGTGGTGCATGATGTTTGCCGACGATATTGTATTAATTGATGAGACGCAATCAGAGGTTAAAGCAAAGTTGGAAGTATGGCGACAGACATTGGAGAACAAGGGTTTCAGACTAAGTAGAAGCAAGACAGAGTACATGGAGTGCAAGTTTGGTGGAGGTAGAAGCAGTGGTAATAACGGAATTACTTTATATGGTAAGGAGATACCGGTCAGCGATATGTTCCGTTACTTGGGCTCCATAATTCAGAAGGACGGTGAGTTAGATGGAGATGTATCTCATAGAATCAGAACAGGGTGGATGAAGTGGAAGAGTGCGTCGGGATTTCTATGCGATCGAGGTATGCCGACTAGACTGAAGGGTAAATTTTATAGGACAGCAATTAGGCCTGCATTACTGTATGGCACAGAGTGTTGGGCGGTGAAACAATGTCACATTCAAACGTTGAGTGTGGCAGAGATGCGCATGCTGCGTTGGATGTGTGGGCATACTAGAAAGGACCGCGTGAGGAATGAGACAATTAGACAAAGGGTGGGAGTAGCACCTATTGAAGATAAGATGCGGGAGTCACGCCTACGGTGGTTTGGCCATGTGCATAGAAGACCGAGTGATGCACCTGTCAGACGAGTTGAGATGTGTGGAGAAGAGGTAGGGAAGAGAGAAAGAGGAAGGCCCAAACAGACGTGGGTTAGGGGAGTCAGAAGTGATATGCTTCTTCTTGGATTGGATGAGAGTATGGCTTTGGAGAGAGCAAAATGGAGGGTGGGTATTCGTGTGGAAGAGTGATCTTGTATCATCTTTTCTCCTCTTTCTTTTTCTTTTTCTTTTTCTTTTATATTTTTATCCTTATATATAAATATTACTTTATCCTTTTTATTTGATCTTTTATATGTATATTCATCTCTTTTATATTATCTTTTTTTATAATAGCTTATCTTTTTTATCTTTATTTTCGTTCTTTTCCTTTTGGTGATATCATATATCGATTCATGTTAGCCGACCCCAATATCGTTTGGGATTAAGGCTTGGATGTTGTTGTTGTTGTTGTAATGTTTATATGTATGCACTAGCTAACAGATGGTTTAAAAGGATCGATTGGTCAGACTGTATACTTTAATTAGTTATTAAACGAAGGTTTGCTATGTAAAGTTTAAATATGACATCGTCAACTCTCAACTGTTTATGACTAACCGGACAAGTAAATTAAGAGAATATGTTTTGTAAAAGCCTTGCTCTTGATCCGGCACTCTGACTAGGATACTCTTGTTCTGTTTAGTGTACGATGTACACTCCTGAAATTCTGTTTAGAGGAAGTAGTGCTCTCCTGTTTAGTGTACTAAGTACACTCCTATTCTGTTTAGTGTACTTCGTACACTCCTGATTTTTTTTAGAGCACTATCACTCTCCTGTTAAGGTCGGGTCTCTTCGGTGATCTCGACCTTTCTGTTCAGCTAGCTTCTGTCAAGGATTGGTACGTGTAGCTCCGGCGATTACGTTTTCGTATTCCTTCTGGATAATGTGGGTACGGACTTCGATCGACCGTATTCCTTACCGTCAGTATTTCTCGGTCTAGGTCCAGATTCCAGAGTTTAAGGCTAAATGAATCTGTTTTTATAAATGATAAGTTTCAGATTAAAAAATTATCTGATAATTATGATATCTGAATATGTTTCTGTTCTGTACAAAAATAATGATAATAATAATCTCAAAATAAAATTATCTGATAATTATGATATCTGAATATGCTTCTGTTTTGTACACAAGAAGAATATAATAATTATCTCAGAATAAAATTATCTGATATTTATGATATTTGAGTATGATTCTATTCTGTATGTAAATATCTGTATTTTTATAACAGCTGCTCGGTTCACCCAGGTATGTTATATGTTTGTCTGATCAGATGTGAATTATGATGTATTAATATGTTTGATATGTTAATATTATCGTTATTGTTATTACTGTACCACTCGGCACATTGCTGAGCGGGTAATTGTGTGTTTCCCTACTCGTAGGTTGAGCACGGAACCCGCTAGGAGCACATGGGATGGAAAGAGGCATAGGACGCATTTGCATGCCATGTTATTTGGTGTTTTTTTAGAAAGGACTTTAATGTCATATGTGATTTTAAGAACTTCCGCTGCACACCTTGAAGTGTTTTATGATGTTTAAGTTATGTCTGTTTTAATAACATTCCACTCCATGTGAGTTTGACATTTTCTGGTATTTAGTAATGAAGTCATTTTGAAATTAATACACTTTATTTTAAGTAATAAAATCTCTTATTAAATGTTTTGTGTTTAAAGTAAAAAAAAAGGCACTATTTCTTGAACCACTAAAAGTATTTTTGATTAAATCCGTTCTGATTTTCCGCCAACTGACGCGCCACTCGGGTCGGCAGGGTCGGGCCGGGTGGAGTGTTACATTTTTAGCTGTGTGGAGAGTTGTAACTCGCAACTCTTATAGGCCGAATTTGCGGTGAATTGTTTGGGCCGGATCATTTGAGTGTTGTTAAAAGTTATTAAGTGCAGCCCAAAATGAAAAGAGAAAAAAAAAAGAGAACCGCCCAAAGAAAAAAAACTGCAGGAGATTGGATCTTTCACTAGCAGCCTAAAACAAAAAAACAAAAAAAAAGGAGTTGGGTTTTTTCCCTTGAACTAGCAGACAAGAATTATGGACGAAATGTTAATGCGACGGAAATAGTACTAAAGAATACACTCTTCGTCTCACTGGACTTTATCCACTTTCCTTCTTTGTTTGTTCCAAAAAAAATTGTGTGTGTTCCAAATAATAGACTCCCCGTTTCAGTCATTTACACAAATCTCTGCACAATACAAATAAACTCGCGGAATACAATGAAGCAAAGGAACAATTGGTAAAGTATGTGGCAAATTTTCACTCTGTTAAAAGAGAGCATTAGAGATCCTCTAGATCTAGTCATGCATTACGTCGTCAAGGCAAAACTATATGTCCTGCCACCCTTGCGGGCGTAGCCGAGTTGGTATTCGGGTAGCAGACATGAGACAATGTTCAAATAGAGTTAATTTGTGTTGCTCTACCTCTACATATCTAGAGGCAAAGTATGGAGGGTAAGGTTGGAAAATTCTGCCTTTTCGGACAAGGCTAGCCGTTTCAGAATCGGGATAAAGTTAAGGTTACCAATCCAAATCTCGGGCTTTCTAATTTTTTAGAACTTCTAACCAATATAATTCAGTCGGACTAATTTCTAGACTGATTTCTAGATACTGTATTTCCACAAATCATTTCTTGGTGTCCGAACGCCCAATTTTGTGTTTTTTACCAACATGTTCAGTTGTTCACTGCCATTTTGAGGATACAAAACACATGATCTTTCTATCGTTCTATTAAATGAATCATCAAAGCATATGATCAATTTAGGACCTTCATTATATTTAGTTTATATACGTAGAAGTGCCGATTCAGAATAAAGGTGCAAAAAAGGTTAACCTGAGTTATTTCTTCTTCCTGTGTTTCTGGAAGTTGGGTTTGATCGGCTGGCTTGAGGTTATGCTCTGACCCACCGACGATCCATATGGAACAAGTGGCTTCTTAATGAACCCACATGAATCCATAATCATGGGAACACTGGATGATGTCACTGGAGAAGCTGTTTTTCTTTTTAATTGTTTCGGGATCTCCAGTCTCTCAAGGATTCTTGATGTTTTCTCGTCTAGTTGTCTAGAATCTTGTGGTGTAGACAGAATCAATGTCTCAAACTTTGGGTTTGGGTTACATGATGGCGAACAAATTTTGGGTTCCCTAGTCACGATCAGTTTTTCCCATTCCTCGGCAATTAGCTCACTGGTTATATCTCCAACACCTATATCGAAAACTGATATATTTTCTTCTATCATTTTCCCCTTGGTTGCCTTTGTTGATTGTGAAGCCTCTGCTGGAGTATCTTGCTGCTGGGAGTTTAACACGGTTGCTACATCTTTATCTCTTGGAGGCATTGCCCTGAAATATTAAAGGGGATAATGATCATGACAACTGACAAGTAAACTATCACACAGGCTGTTGCAAACATACTAAGGGGGTGTTTGGATAAGCAATTTGAAAACGTCGTATTTAAAAAAAATGGTTTTGTTTTGAAAATGCTGCGTTGTCGTCTTGTCAAAATATGCTTTTTATATGAGATGGATGGGCAGCCCGGTGCATGTTTTTTTTTTAACTCCAGGGGGGGTCTGGGGGAGCCTGAAGTAATCAGGTCAGAAACTCACTCCATTGAGTTTTGAACCCTTATGTGCCTAGCAGGTTTCGAACCCGAGACCTCCCACTAGGCACGGTAACCTCACAACCAGCCCGGTGCACTAAGGCATACCCACAAGGAGAGTGTCCAGGGAAGGGTCCCACTCTTCCCCACCATAAGGGTGTATAAGGGGCAATCTTTTCCTTGTCAAAATTTTGACAAGAGGCTGCTCTCAAGACTTGAACTCATGACTTTTCAGCCACACAACAACACCTTAACCGATGCGCCAAGGCTCACCTTCTTTGTAGAGCATGATTGAAAAATAATAACAAACCACTCGAATAAAGAAGCTACAATTTGCAGCTTCTTGAATTTAGTGTTTGGTAGTGCTTTGTTCTTTAACAAAATGCTCCGCCCAACACTTAGCACTATAGCATTTTGGGAGATACAACCTTCAGCCAAACACCAGCTAAAATGAACTATATTTCACTCTTCCAGTTTGGAATGGAGAATCCAATTACAAGGGTACTTGTTGCAGATAGTCTGGAAGTGATCAATACTAGCAAGGCTTTTTTGCGCATCACTATGCCTAATGAACCAGAATTAGTGCTTCACTAATATATCTTTTAGCAGGCTTTTTGAAAAGGGAAAAAACCATAGTAGCCCTGAAACCACTTGACATTTTATCTTTTTTCACCTATTGTATCAGATGGAATGGAATATAATGAATATTCCATAGTTCCAAGTGGTTCAGTGGTTCTAGGATCCAACCATAAATGGGATGTTAAATGTGAGTTTTTTTTAGTTTAGTGGTCAAATAGAAAGACATGCTCATGTTAGTATATTAAAAAGCTATAAGTAATTACCCAAATTGTAGGCTTTCTTTCACCAGAGTGTTCAGTTTTTTATGAAAGCCTCTTTCGTGATGAAATGGATCGTAGTCACTTACTTCCATCTGTGAATAACAAACAAACAAGAAATGTACAACTAGATGCTAAAAACCTTTCTGAAGTACCTTGCATTTATTGAATGCACTCTCACACAAATGTATACAGGTCAACATATTGTATATATATATTTCCATTTATTTTTACTCGAGTTCCTTATAATTAATGCTGCTAATAGTTTTTGTTTGTAAAAAGAATTGTATTGCCATTATTTACCGGTGAAATCGTTAGTAGACCATTAGCAGTTCTGCATTAACACATCAGATTTCACAAACTATAAAATGGGATGCATGCTCTAGTATGCTACATGTCCAAATAGAAGAACCAGTCTACTGACCTTAAACAAAGACGCTTGAACAGAATTTTCAATATCATTTGCTACCTTCATGTGTTTAAAGGGCATAACTTCAGGAACAGGCAAGATTTCCTCTGATCCAGCAAGCCGCTGCAGTTTCATATGCATAGTAAATCACTATTCAAGGCCTAATAAATGTGTGGAGATCGTAAAGGAGGTTGAAGAAGCATATAAATTGCATCAGCGAAAATGCTAAGAACGCGAAAAACAAATGTCAATTAAATAATGACTCTTCTTCAGGATGGGACAACAGATATAAGGAAAAACTCACCCTAAGAAGCATAGTTCCTTTTTCTGAAGGTAAAAGTAAATAATAGCACAGAAAGGAAGACTGTCTTGCAGTATCGATGTTGTAATTTGAAGAGCAAACTATACCCTGGTCAAGGGAGTTCAATAAGCTACTCATCACTTGAAAAACTGCAAAAGGCACAATTTGCGTTCATAAACAAAATAGCTAAATCCCATTGGTCAATTGTTCGGGACAACTACAGATGCTGTACTAAAAAGAAGCTGTTGGTGCACCTTTACAGTATAGATCTGAATTCTCAGTCTCATCTGACTCAAGGAAAGCTGGAGTGATAATAAATGAAGAACCAAAAATGATTCCTGACAATAGGGGAATAAGGACGGATATTAGTGGTCAACATCCCAAATGAACCAGATATGTACTAAGTACTAACTGAGCGACAAATTCATATAATCACAATGTGTGCCACTGGCATTAATAATTTTCACTAAAGGGTCTTGAAATTTTAACCCTATTCGTAGATATTGAAAAACAAAGAGCTAAAAGTATACTTCACTCCCTCTGATTCACAATGTGTCACTTTGGAGGAAATTAGGGAGATTAAGGCATCATTAAATTCATTTCTTTTTTACAATGTTACCCCTCTCTAAATAATCATACTGTTGAACATATGGTCTTGGTTTTATGAAGCGAATATCTGTAAGGGGAAAAAGTTTTCAAAAGTGACACTTATTGGGCACCAAAGGGAGTGTATTTTAGTCAAAAGCAAACATGAATGAAATACAAAACATCTAGTGCAGTTTCTTTCTCTCAACTAACAAAAGACTGAAATTTTGTTTTTCTTTTCAAGTACCCACCTTCATTAAGTGAATGCAATCCAGTTCTTTTAATGACATTGAATTCAACAGGTGAAGAAACTCGTGGAGTGTCCTGACAGGGATGAAAAGAAGGCAAGTACAGGGTTATATTTTCTCCAATCTTTACGGAGTTTTCAATGATGTTTAGGATTACAAGTTCATCCCCAGTGACTGGACAATAATATTTCACATTTGACTCTTTCCTCTTTGAGTCATCTAAGGGCATGCCATGACACCTGCAAGTCTGTAGGCAACGAAATCAAATGATAGTTTCGGTCATTACAAGAGAGAAAGATGTCCTTTGTAGAAACAAATGTAAGTAACATAATATTCTCATTGCAGGTTTGCAAGTTGCAAACTTGCAAGTTGCAACTAATGTGAACAATTAGCATGGAATAGTGTATAACACAGAAGTATTATTATTATTAATATTTTTATTACTATTATTATTGTTATTCATAGTAGTAGTAGTAGCCGCAGTTTCCTGTTAGTTCAGGTATTCTATTTTAGTTAGTATTCTTAATAGAAGTATATGTTTAGTTACGGATACCAAGACTTGGGACTACCGGACTAGTATAAAGGTACTCTATCAAACAATAAGAGGATTAATCTTTTGGAATAACAATTTGGTATCGAAGTCTTTTGTCTCCAATCTGTTTCCCTAATTTTTCTGCTTTTTTCTTTTCTGCCCAGACTCTAGGGAAAAAAGTCTCCAGTGCTGCTGGACCATATCATTAGGCCGAACAAACCCACCAGCAAGGAAACAGTTCAGAGCCAATTTACTGGAGACCATCAGAAAGATTATGCCTTGTTCTTCTCTCAACAGTTCTGAAGTTTGCTTTTATCTCTCAGTTGAAGTGCTGATTTATTAGTGTCATCTTTCTGGAATAGAGTTTGGTTTGGGGATCAGTGTTTGATTTCTTTATTGATAACTTTGTCAGAGTTGTTTTTTCGTCAAGTCAGGCCTCATGATTTAATTTGATTAAAAATAACATCAACAAACTCGAGAAAAGTACAGCAAAAAAATCTAAGAAAAATATATAGTAACGAGCTCTCGAACTTTGCATGTCAGTCTCTAATTTATGTTGTATCGATGATGAGTATGGTTTACACTGTATTTTTTATGATAATGTGATTCAAGCTTTACTATTAGTGAAGTTTTAAAGTCTCAGGGAGTTGAACAACAAGTTTTAGTATATCTTGATTCCGTCCAGGATTAACCTTCCCCAAGTAAAGTTCTTTACAGGTAGACTTAAAAGATGACATTCGTTTATACTGGCCATGTGGATGTCGTAATCCGTTTGCTGCAAGCTATTAAACGAAGGCAACACTCACAATGTGATTCGCTATCTTTACCAACATCAGCCGGTCAACCCTATTGCCCACATCACTAATATATCCTCCACCAAAATGTCAAACTTTTCTCTGCAGTAGTCAGCCTCTCAACTGTTTCCACCACTATTGTTAAATAAGCAGAAATTTTTAATTTTTATCCACATCACCGTCAGTATTGTTGTTGCCAGCACAACAACCCCTGCCACAATAGGCCAATCTACCACTATCAACAACACCCTTGCTGAGACTGGTGAAGTTGAACCTCCATCCTTGCCTCCGGCTCATTCACTGCCAACACCCAAGTTGCAAGAAATTATATGAAGACTCCTAGCAAGGGAAGATTTTTCTGAATAATGCCGCGTATTGGGCGTTGGGAAATTACACGTAGTCATGTGCCTACAACCCTTACGCGTATTGACACCATGGGCTATTAGATTCGAGCTTGAGCAAAAGTTTGATGTTTCTGAGAGAGTAATGATGTGGGTGGAAAAAGTCTTATATTATTATTTTTATTATTGTTAGTGTTAGTAGTTTCCTTTTAGTTTAAGCATTCTTTTTTAGTTAGCATTCTTAATAGAAGTATCGTACGGAGTAATAGTTTAGTTTTAGAGTTACTTTAATACATGCCACCCAACTCTTGGAACTAGTATAATTGGGGTGCTCTATTCATTAGTAAAAGGATCAATCTTTTGCAGCGCGTTCCTTGAAACTGACACACTTCTTTGATTACAGCAGCGGGAAGTTGGCTTTTTCCCCAATTTTATAGACTTTCAATCTTCTTTTTATCTCCCAATCACCATTTGTTCTGCAAATTCGTTGATTGCCCTTTTCCATTTTCCGGCTTTAATTTACTGCAGATGCTACGTGTTTGTTGGCAGAACATCAAAATCTTAACAAAGCTTCATTGTCATTTCTCATATAAAAACTTGTACACAGTTCAGCATCCCAAAGCATTTCACATATTAAACCAAAACATGCCTCAAAGACATACGGAATATGAAACACAGAGAAATGAAAATGTATACAACTCATAAAAAACTATGATTACTCCCACATCTTGAAATTATCTTCCTGTTTTCCTTATTTATCGTCTTCAAACATTTTTTGTGCTTACTATTTTAGGAAAGAAAAGAAATGTGTGATTGTTATTAGTTCATAATTCAGAATCTACCGTGCACATTTTCGTTTTCATTTACCCCAGTGCTGCAAAGGCTCCCACCTATAGTGGGGTAAGGGGGGGTCGGATGTATTCAGTCTTACCCCTGTACTAAAGCAGGGAGAGACTGTTGCTTCATAACAAAGAAGCACAGACAGTTTAGTGAGCAATTTTGCTTTATTCCATCATTTTCTCAAGACAAAAAATAATGAATCTTTGGCTCCATTGCAAATGATGGAAAATACAACTCTACTTAATAAGCGTCTTAATTCAGACCAGAAGATAATCTCAAAGCATATGGTGCAATCTATTAGGTGTAATTTTCCCACACAATAATAAATAAATGCATCACAGCTGCACAAAGCTGATCTGAAACTTTGGAATGCAATAGAGCTGCTATATGATAAAAGTAGAGCATCCCCACATTTGTATATTAAATTTTCTGAAAAGTATAATTTATGTGTAATACCTCACACGAAGAAAATTCGTCTATTATTTGATTGACAGGTGTAGACACATTGCACAATATCTTGTTGGAAGAGCCTACAAGATTGTTCTTGAAGATAAAATGAGCCTGTAATGGCTCTTCCATGTCATCCTTCAACTCCTGGGACCACTTCATCACTAAACCAAAAAACACACGTGCATCTGAAATTTTAAACTATTATCTGTTAGCCCACATTAAAGGAATGTTTGGATAGCGAAAAAAGCTAGAGAAAGAATAAAGAAAGTAAGAGAAGTGATTTTGTTGTGTTTGATTTTACCCCGGGGAAAATTTAAAGGCATATGAAAAGAGACTCTCACCTTGTGACCTATAGAAGTGGAGCTAATAGTACACAAATTGACTACTTTTTAGTATAGACGACTTGGAGAACTAGTTACATTGATTGTAAGGTTATCCTAGGTGAGTGTTGTCACTCACATAGAATGCTTGTGTTTGATTTTCAAGGTAAAAAGAGAAGGCGGGTTAAGGTACAAGGGGAGCCGAAGATAAAGTGGTAAAGGCTTGAGGGAAATCTCTAACAAACTTTAGCACAGAAAATGTTGGAGGAAGATGTATCGTCCATTGATAATGACGCACATGTGAATGATGTGTGGTTATCAATGGAGTCTACCATTAACAAAGTGGCGAAAGAGATACTTGGAGAATCTAAAGGTTGACTACTACCAAAAAAGGACACATCTTGGTGGAATGATGAGGTGAAACAAGCAATAAGGACCAAAAGGGAATGCTATAAGAAATTGGGCAAAAGTTGGAGGGATGAGAACATAAATGAGTACAAGAAGACTAGAAGAAGAGCAAAGAAAGCCGTAAAAGAAGCAAGAGGAAAAGAGAACAAGGAATTGTATGCAAAATTGGATTCTAAAGGAGAAAAAGATATTTACGGACTTGCTCGTCTTTGTGACAGTAGGACTCAAAATATCAGAAAAGTTAAGTGTATGAAGGATGTCAATCAAAGGGTACTAATGGAGGACGGGGAAATAAATGAGAGGTGGAAGTCATACTTTGATACCTTGTTCAACGGCAATAAAGTGCAAGGTATTGATGGTCTTACTATACCAGAGAGTATGGTAAATCGAGACTTTGTGACAAGGATCTAAATAATAGAAGTTAAAGAGGCTACGAGAAAGATGAGGCGGAAGAAAGCAGTGGGCCCAGATGGCACACCGATCGAGGCTTGGAAAAGTTTGGGAGAGCAAGGCATTGAGTGGCTTAACACGTTTCTTCAACATGATTTGGAGAAACAGCAAAATGCCAATGAGTTGGCGGAAGAGTACTCTCATTCCCATATTTAAAAATAAGGGTGATGTACAAGAATGTGCCAACTATCAAGGGATTAAGCTTATCAGTCACACCATGAAACTTTGGAAGCGAGTGGTTGAGCAAAGACTTCGAAAAATTGTAAAAATTTCGGAGAATCAGTTTGGTTTTATGTCTGGACGCTCAACAACTGAGGTCATTCACCTTCTTAGACAAGTTGTGAAGAAGTATAGAAACACTAAAAAGGATCTGCATTTGGTGTTCATTGACTTAAAAAGGACATATGATAGGGTACCTCGAGAGGTCCTTTGGTGGGCCTTAACTAGAAAAGGCATATCACGTAAGTATATCAGTATCATCATGAATATGTATGAGGCTTGTAATACGAGTGTCGGTACTAGGGTAGGGAGGACCGCAGAGTTTCTTATTACTATCAGAGTGCACCAAGGATCGGCTCTGAATCCTTTCTTATTTAATATAGTCATGGATGAAGTTACGAAGTAAATTCAAGAAGATATACTGTGGTGCATGATGTTTGTCGATGATATTGTATTGATTGATGAGAAACAATCGGTGTTAAAGCAAAGTTGAAAGTATGGCGACAAACATTGGATACCAAGGTTTCAGATTGAGCCGAAGCAAGATTGAGAATATGGAGTGCAAGTTTGGTGGTGGTAGAAGTAGTAACAACAATGGGCTTACTCTTGATGGTAAGGAGATACTAGTGTGCGATATGTTTCGTTACTTGGGTTGCAATGCTGCATAATTCAGAAAGATGGTGAATTAAATGGAGATGTATCTCAAAGAATTAGAGTTGGGTGGATGAAATGGAAGAGTGCATCAGGATTTCTATGCGATCGAGGTATATCGACTAGACTGAAAGGTAAATTTTATCGAACAGCTGACGTAGAGTGTTAGGCGTGAAACAATGTCACATTCAAAAGATGAGTGGCAGATATGCGTATGTTGCGTTGGATGTGTGGACATACTAGAAAAGACCGCTTGAGGAATGAGATAATCAGACAAAATGTGGGAGTAGCACCTATAGAAGATAAGATGCAGGAGTCTCGTTAGCGGTGGTTTGGGCATGTGCGTAGAAGACCAAGTGAAGCACATATTAGACGACTTGAGGGGTGGGGAGAAGACACAGAGAGGAGAGGAAAGAGAAGACCCAAACAGACTTGGATTAGATGAATCAGAACTGATGTGCCTCTTCTTGGGTTGGATGAAAGTATGGCTTTGGAGAGGGGCACATATTTATGCCTCTCCAGCGACGTCGGGTATCCGTTTATATTTATTTATCTTTATCTTATTTGTTTTATCCTTTTTCTCTTCTTGTTTGTGTTCTCTTTTTGGCATCGATATCATGGATTGATTCATGCTGACCCCAAAGTCTTTTGTGTTTTTTGGGGTTAATGGAATAACAATTTATTCCATTAGTCAAACCCGCTGACTGAATCCGCAATTTGATGTACACATTTGTTGTACACATTGTCAGGTTGATTGTGTACACAGGAGCTTTTGAATGAGTTGTTGAGTTGTCTGTGTACACAGACAACTAAGGGGGTGTATAACAAATGTGTACAAAATATGTATACAAATTGTTTTTCCTTTTATAAAATACATTTTTTTTGTTATTTAAAATTATGAACACTTTTATAATTTGAGCTTCACTAGATTATTGACAAACCCGCTGACTGAATCCGCTATTGACAACCCGCTAACACCCGATATCCACTAACCGCTAACCGCTGAATGCCAAACACGCCCAATTAATGTAAATTTTCCCTTAAATATCTAATTACGGACATGGATCACTTAACATTATTATGGTCAGTCAAACATCGTAAACCGCTTGTGAATCTTTTTAGGGGACGGGAGTAAATAAGATGTTTTTAAGCAATAACCAAAAATAAACTGATTGAGCTTGGACCAATATTTGGTTTCCTTCCCCAATCATGCCATCTAAATCTCCTATATATTTTCTTTTCTATTTTGTTTCTCTAGCATTATTCCAATTCCAAAGGGGCCCTAAGGAAATCTTATTCAAATTATCCAAGGGGGAGCAACTAACCTTGAATTCGGTGTTCAAAAATACAATTCTCAAGATCACCAATTTCCTTCAGGAAGTTGTTAATATTTTCGGGAATATCAGCAAGGTGACTTGAGGTTTGCTCCAAGAACACAAACTCTACAGAAACACACTTTTCTGCTGCACCCTGTCAGAAAAGGCACCACATTTGGCGAATTCAAAATTTGACATAGTTGTCCAGTTAGGAGGAATAAGCCTTCCTGCTCTACACATTTTAAACTATAAACATTTGATGGTAGTATTTGGACTTTACTTTTGTATTGGTTATTGAAAACTACTTCCGCCTTCCTAGTGTCTTTGCTTCACCTTTTTTTCAACCATCCTCGAGGTCTGCCTCATAAGCCATAACTTATTTGGTAAAATTTGATAGAAATTCAAATATCAACCACATCATTTCACTTTCATTAATGTGATTGCCGCTCTATCATCATGTATTAAAGATATTGGAATGAATATAAATATAGTGACCACAAATAACTGTTGAATTGTTAGGTCACACTGCTACAAATATATCTGCAAGTGGGTGACGTACCGTCAGTGCCATTCTAGTTGTTGAGTCTAGACTTTCAAGTACACAAGAGCTTATCAGCACAACTTTTTTTGTGATATCTTTTTGCTGACTTCCCCATGAATACAGAACTTCATCACTTAGAACATCTGAAAGTTTCATATCTGCAAATAACACATCCATACGATAGCATATGTCAAAAAAGCAAATGATTAAAGCAAAACAGCACTCGAGTATTCCTGTATGAAGTTAAGTTCACAATTTTTGAGAACACAAACAAGCACATTTAAGTAAAAACTTACCGACACCACAAAAAGACGATGAATTGTTGAAATCTGGACCAAAAGCATCAACAGGAAGACTGTTAACCGCATGGTGGAAATCACGGAGATTGAAGTGGCCTCTCGGACTATAAGCCACCTTCAGCTGCTAACCACTTTATCCATCAGTTACAAAGCAGAAGCATTAATTGAGCGTTTCTATTGAAGAATTTAGTCAATTCACCAATGTAAGCCGGCACGCACTCAGAAACCTTACACAATACAATATCTCCATAGGTAATCATCAAAAGAGCGTGAAGCATTCCTAACCATATAGTGCAAATTGTTCCTTCTACAGAAATATACATGAAAGTATTCTGACTTCCGAGTATGATATAATTGTGCACAGTATACTTGTATAATTACCATTGACGCATCCTAGGACACAGACTTTAGAAGTAGATTGACAGATCGTATACCTCATGGGCGCATGATATGCGATTTTTGAAAATGTAGCATAGCCCGATCTGATCGGGCAGTGGTTTGGGTTTTGATGGACTACCATTACTAGCTGAAGAAGATATTGCGTGCAAATTCGCTAACTGCAACAGTAACTGGCATCGCAAAATAGGAGATAGTTTTAATTCAAAATTTCATGACAAAACGAACACGCAAGAGATTAACAACTACTTTGGAATTCGGAAACAGATTTACGAATATGTGCGCACATTACCTGTTTCAGATCGTGAAGTAGCGAAGTCGATATGCACCGGAGATCCAAGACGAAGCAAAGCATCGTCATTTTTAATTCCGATTGTCTATCTTACCAGCATCTATATATCTATATATAAAACAGAAAAGTCTCAAAGAGGGTCAAGGATAATAATTTCAGCATGGAATAATTAAACCCAACTATAGAACTTCTCAGAGAAGTAGACATTATAAATTAGTAACGTAGGGGATGGAGGGTGCAAATGGCAGGATAATAATTACAACTTACAATAATTAATCCAGTCACTACGCTTCTCAAAAAACATGCGTAGAAATGTGCATCATGTTGTTCAGCACATCTATTATTTATTATCTATTATTATTATAATTATATATATTATTTTTAGCAAAAGAAAACTTGCAGATCAAGTTCCCGCCCAAAAGTAGAACACTCTAGAATCACGTGGTCGGTTTCCCGACAGCTTAGCTTTTTAATTAATTTACAAATTGAGAATTCAAAAATACGTATAGACAAATACATTTGTAAATAAATAAGTCCAACACAATGACGTTCTGTTCGCATATCAAGAAGATTCTGATTGATTGTTTTGTAGGCAAGCACAACTCATGTTTGACTCCCCAATGTAGCATTTAATACATGCTCTATGTTCAGCTTTAATGGGATCGGGTACCTGTATATAAATAATGGAACGTGTGATGAGCAAACCAGTTTTATCCTAGACCTAGCTTAGTCCTAAACAAGAGTTGAAAATGGTGGATTTGAGGAGTTTGATAAATGCTGTGAACCAAAGCAAATCCACATGGCGAACAGAGGTTGGTGTTGTAAGGATGTATATTGTTACACCTTCATCGGTATGCATATTCCATAATGAAAAGGTAAGTTTTACAGAGAAACAAACTAATATCTCGCATAAGAAGGTATTGAAGAAACGGAAATCAGACACTTCACAAAGGAAAAACTTCCTGAGCAGGTCGGAGAGCCTACCTCAAAGATCCGCGCGGCACTTACTACTTCCGAGATACTGGCTGACAGAGACGAACCGCTTGTCTGCTGGAACGATCAGGTTGATGGCCACCGATCTCTCTCCGCTCAGCTGGGATGAAAACTCTCTCTTCTCGAACCGTCAGGAGGACGGCCGCCGAAACTCTAGCACACTCTCCCCGTCTCCCGGGCAAATTAGCACGGACCCACGTGCGGCTAACTCAATTAAAATAGGCTAATTCCCTGTTTTACTAAACACAACCCTTAATTATAATTAAGTAATTAAATTAAATATAAATGAAATTCCTATTATATCCCTATTGTCGTAAGGCTCCTTCAATCCTCCCGGATTTTCGATGCCGCTCAGAGCAAGTAAAGACATGGTGGAGCCGCCGAAGGGAGGAGGAGAACGGTGTAGCACCACCATCCTAGAAATACATATGGCCGAGGCTGACATATTATGTTCCGCTCCTTCACGCCTACTAGTTTCTTTTATTCCCCCCCACCCCTTCCCCTTACACAGATCAAGAAAAAAAGATTTGTCATCCAAATCTCCACACCAGGATAGATGGTACCGCCCTTTTTGGAGATGGAGGGGTAACTAAACACTCATATCTAGTTTATCTTCTCGACAATTAAATATAATTAAGAGTTTAAAACTAAAACTCTTGAACCCTTAAATATTTGAAATCACAGGAGATATATAGCAATGATGGAGATGTGTCGCATTGTTGGAGACAGAAATCGGCTTATTGCAATATTACTTCTGGTTTCAGAAAATGTCATGAATATTATCCTCTTCCATTTTCAAGACAGGTATAGATTTGTAATCCCATTGCTTGTTCTGATTATCTTGACATACTAAATATCTGTTTAATTATTTATTATGTATTTCAGTTCTTACGAGTGTGATCCCACTAAGTCCATAAAAAGGCTCACGTATAATTCAAAGCCTGATACTAATAATGATGAGTTGAGCTTCCTTTGTGGGAAAGTAATTTCTACAATGGAAAAGCTTGGGTCGCTAAGTGAGGTATGACCATTTAATTTCTCGATTTCAAATACCTACTAAATCTGTCTAATGAGGTTTAGTTTTAAATTGCATATAAGCAGTTTGATAATCTTAAAACCAGTCTTGCAATTGAGCATAGGAGAAAGGAAAGAGAGATAGAGAGAGTTAATTCAAGTTTTCAAGAACATAGGAGAAACTGGAATCTTTTGCTTCTAGTGTAGTTATCCACTCTGTAATAGACAATTTTTAATTGATACTATCAACGAGCGTGAGATACTATCAAACCTAATAGGAGATGATTTGAAAATTTAGTACACCATCAAAGTGTACATGGGTTTTTAGCTCCGAGCGGCACCAAATTAACAGACTACAAAGGAAGGTTGCAAGAGGGCTAATGGATTTCCACCGCATAAGAGAAGAACATATAGATTGGCTATGTTGATGGTGACGGATAACTGGCGGGGATACAATAGGCATTTTATTTTTATTTAATTAATTAATTTAATTAGAGGCTGTGTTTAGTAAAATAAAGACTCCATTTAGAATTCCCCTTAAAATATTGATTCGGGCCCCATGAACCTTTTTCCTCTCTCTTTTATTTTTACATCTTTTGGGCTGTGGCCCAAGTAAGTACCATGTAATCTTCTCCGGTTATTTTTTACATCTTTTGGGATGTTTTAGACCCCGTTTGGTGACCCCTTTTTTCGGCTTATCTGGCTTATCAGTCAGCTTTTTCACCAAACATGTAACTTTTGATTTCGCACGCTGAATTGTGTAATAAACAGGAAAAAGTAAGGTTGTAGTTACTTTTCTGGCTGTATTGGCTGAAGTTATTGTAGAAGATCGTTTTAGCTATTTTTTCATATAATTTTTTATTTTATTTATTAATAACAAATATTTTAAATATAATTTTTTCACGAATCAGCAGAATCAGCCAATACAGTCACTTCAGCCAGAACTTCATAAATTTCAGCAGAATCAGCCAATACAGCCAATTTTAGTGTTACCAAACAGGCTCTTAGACTTTTAGGCTTGATTAGATCATAATAGATAAATAATAAAATATACATACATCAGACACTTATCTGACTAGATCAAATTAGACTGTCAGACCAAACTTAAACAGATCTGGCCATAAAAATTTAGTCTAATTAAAAAAATTATTATTACTGTGATCCATTACATAAGGAAATAAAAATGACATCTTATACGTATAAAAAAGAGTAATATTAATGATAATAATAAAATAATAATAATGATGACTTTTTATCCTTCTAAACCTATTATTCCATATGCTCATTAATAACAACAACATTAACACTACCACCACCAACAACTAACAACCAAGCTTTACTTGGTATAAATAGCATTGCATGCAGTGACGGAACCAGAATTTTATTTGAAGGGGTGCTGAGAATTATACTCCGAAAAAACTACTCAAGAACCCCTAGTTCATTAAGTACTCTAAATAGACCCTTGCAAAAAATAGTACTCTAAATAGACATAATCTCTACTCAAAGAATCAAAATCACTAGCATATTTATGTAAACCTTAATTAGCGATCACTGCAAAAAAACACGGGATTGGCGGAATTTTTGGCATGGACCCAAAAATCCAAAATTGGCATGAAATTTGACAAATTAACCTAACAAATTATACAAAATAATCATATACTCCACAATAAATAGCGTTGAGTTATATATATTTAATCACGGAAAAGTTACCGAAATTGGACTAAAACAGTTTGAAAATTCCAAAATAGGACTGCCATGTTTTTATTCCCAAAATAGAAGTAATTACTATCAATTTTTGAAAATATTGTCATGTTTGAAGTCTAGTACTGCCAAAACATGACAGTAATTAGTCTTATTTTGGGAATAAAAACATGGCAGTCCTATTTTGGAAGACAAGATAACATTACCTTTCACAAGCCACAAATGCGCAGAAGCGAGCAACGCAGTATTGAGAGTATTTGGGCCCTTATTATTTTCATTATTAAATACGTAGTATGTAATGTGTGGTGTCTCCTTATTATATAGTGTGTGTGTGGGTTACGTAAGGTGCATGGCCCTCTACCTTGTTTTCCATCCAAATTATTGTAATATTTATACAACATGTAATGGAAGCTACAAAGCAGTTGTGCGCATTATTTCTCTTACATGAAACTTAGTACTCTCAATATCAGTTCTTACTTTTATCATTGATTCTTATGCAGGTCTTCCATTTTTCCAGCTTCCAGCGACGGTCATTGATCCAACACAGAACTCGCAGGCGGCGGCAAAATTTTGAATCATCTGTCGATTCAGTCTTGGAAAGACGGTCTTTCTCACTTCCTCCTCCCGGCCTCTTCGATTTTTAGGTTGTGTCACTGAGCTAATTGAACATTAAATGGTCAATAAAGCAAGTAAGGATGTTATTAAATGTAAATTTCTTATCAGTGTCGTTTACTAATAATCTTAATCTTAAAAGCTTATAATGGCCAATGAAGATTAGGGTATTTAAGGAATTAAAAAAATGTTGGTGTAATCAGCCAGCTTAATTGAGTGGTACTGTATGTTTTGCCGTCTGTACTCTATTATTAAAGGGCGTAACTTCCGTTTAATTTCCATCTGTGCGCTAGCTACCATCCGTTCCATCTTCCTCTCTAATCCTAGCCTTGGATACACAGTCCGTTCTTTTATCTCTCGTCACTCCCAACCTTGCCAATGTTGCCATCACACAGCTCTCCCGTCCACCCGAACCTTCCAGGAGGTAACCGCCCGACTCTTTATTAAATTTGTTCCTTCAGCATCTTCATCTTTCATAATCTCGATCTCGAATTCGACAGTGTCATCCAACTATGTTTGAATTTTAAATGCTTAAATCTACCAGACTACCAGGTTGGTAAAGCTGGAGGAGTTGAATGGAAAACATGTCTGATAATGTAAGTGTTCGATTATATCTGTATATGTTTAAATCTACCAGACTACCATTCATTCTCTCTGTGTTGTTATTATGTAGTGTTTAATTTCGAAGAGGAGGCAGAATTTCAATCACTTGTGATACGACAAATACACTTAGCTTCTACTATGTTCTACTCATGCTGGCAATAGATTGTGCACATTGGATTGGAATACTCGTAAGTTATTTATTATATTGAAAATTTTCCCTTTTATCATACTTTAGATGGTTCTATGTCATTTACTAAATGATTATACAATGGATATCTTAAATGTAGTATTGTCCTTCTCTAATTTCTGTTCCCCTTCGTATGTGGTCGCCTTTTAGGGTCATAGGTCCGATCTTGATAGTCTGAGTTATATGTGATGTTATATGGAGAAAATGGTGCTCACCAAGTGTCTGTGAATTTGCCTGAATGACGTTCATTGTAATTTATGTGAGATATGATGTCATTTAATGTACTTATACCTCAGAGTCACAGTGGATCCAAACATGTTATCATGCTCTAAAAAGATGAATAAAAATGTATTCAAATACTTGTTGGATTTAGAAATAAAAAAAAAGTTTTTAGTTTTGTATTCCAACGGTAAAAGGGATTAAAGGTCTTATGGGAGCAGGCCCCTGCGTTTCTAGGAAATTTAAGCCTGAATGTGGAGCATTTGGGTATAGAAAAAGGGATAAAAGTGGATGTTTACTTTCATTCATGTTTATAATAATTGACCTTAGTGGAATGAACTGATATGAGTGTTCATAAATGTGAGTCCTACTTATAAATAACATGGAGAAAGGTAGAAATTGATTCGGTATATTGAAACTTTTGTGAATAACTAAATCAAATCTTATAGAAAAGTTTTTTTTATTTGTTGTCTTCTTCTTTAGTTATTAATGTTGTATCAATACAATTTTCAACTTCTCTATTTTATTGTGAAGTAAACACTTTTCCAATAACATGAAATTAATTGCTCATGAACATGCAGGTGATGCATTGATTAACTCGTGTTCACATCAACAAAAGATTTCTAATATATGAGTTTATACTTCATGGTATCTGATTAGTAGTTTTTTTCCTTGTAGACCGTAAGTGGGGAGACTTACAAAATGCTTGGTGAGATTGGAAATCTAAAAATCAGATCAATCCCCCACGGAGAAATAACACCACTCATATCCAAATTAGAGTTGTAGATCGTTCTTGGAGATTTAAAAATAACAGGTTATAGATCTTTTTGATATATTGTTAAATCACCAAATCGATGTCAAATAGTCAAGTTGTTCAAGTAGAACCAACCACATCATGTTAACACGCCAAATACTAGCAATACATATTAACACGCCAAAAACTAGAAAAATCAAATAAGAACTAGATATATTCTGATATGTACTACATATATTTTGCTATTTTTATATTCTTATCATATGGATTGTTGGTACAAGCGTACAACTATAGTAGAGGAGGGACATTACTAGAAGAATCTATAAAGAACATAAAAGTAGTGAAGTAATAGCCAAACTGAGTGAATGTGTGATAGATGGTGTGTCGTACATGCGGTTTTACTTGGTTTTGAACAAGATTTTGCAGGTTCTGTTTTTTCCCTGCCTTTCAACATGTGGTAGTCTTGCTGCTCCTCACAAGTCACATCTAGAGAGACCCACCTGGGCTGCTGCTATATGGTTTGGTGATTAAAGAAAGATTCAGTTTTTTTTCTTGAGAATTAATTTGTGGTTTTACTATTCAAGTACTTTTACTATATATCCACGTTCATGCTGGGAATTTTGACAATCTGGCTAGGATTTGCCCAACATTTTACTAAACTTAAGGTGGAAAAGGGTTCATCTTTTGTTATTATAAATATGTTATTGCAGTAAAAAAAATCATACCAAACATATCTTCTATGCTTACGAATTCACTAACAGTCTAACATACTATGGATTCCAAGCCATAAGTGGTGGTGTTTATTGCCCTCAATTTATAGGCTCAAGGGGAAAAGTGTACTTTTGATATTTAATTGTGTTTTAGCACTATATTACCTATTTTTACCATAAAAACATGTGAACATATGTGAGTGCTAAACCTCAATATGGAGAAAAAGTCCAACGATGAGATGAGAAGCACATGACATTCATTTGATATCATTGTAACAAAGCTCTTGAAAGCTAAGGTTAATATATCATCGTCAATTTCCATATTTTCTGCATAATGCATTGAATTTATTTTTTAGTATATAAGAGTTTTTATTACTAAAGAATGAGGGGGAGGGGTGTCATTTAAAATATTTATCTTGTGTGATGATACTTTTCTCACACAATAAACAATTAACTCATCATAAAATAGTAATGAGAAAATCAGTTATTTAAAATTGTACGCACAAGTGGTACAACTCTATTTACTAACAACCATTTCATTCTATTATATCTATGCAGTGGCCCAAATTTTAAAAATGTCTTTATTTTCAGTGTAAAAATTGCGTGTAATTTTTTTTTCAAAAATATTCTTTGTCCGGGCCCAGTCTGGCCCAGTGTCCTGTCTCCGCCCCTATATCTATGAGAATATTATTGGGCATTTCCTCCTCGCGCATGGCGCGAGCAAGAAACTAGTATTAATATATTGAGAGAACAGAGTGTCGTTTAAAGCACAATTGAAAGTTGTTTTACTTTAATTCCCCCCTTTCAACTTCCTCAAACGATGTCTTTCAACTAAATGAATTCTTTTTAAAACCTTAGTTTGTACTTCTTATCAGCACCACCAGCTCAACAGGGGAGAAGTCAGGGGCGCTGGAAGACTAAAACGGAAGAGGGTTCAGGGGCGCCGGCCATAACAATACCTATACATACCTCAACTACTCCGGCGAAGGGGGAGCGCCAGCACCGGCTCGCCCCCTAGTTCCGCCGCTGTTTGCATGGTAAAAAACTGCTTTACAAATGTGTGTAAAAGAAGATTATAAATGTATCTATATGATTAAACTATGCTCATTTTTTTTACCATTTTGATGTTCATTGTATAATATATAATATATGCGACTGTTTTTTATGGAAATAAAGGCATATTTTATATATAAGTAAAACAAAAACTAAAATAATGGCACATTTACTATAATAGTAAATCTTAGTCACCATAAATATGTTTGATTTTGTACTATATGGAGTCATAGTCATAACAAGTTTAGTCATATTTTTGTTCAATAATTTCATTCCTATAAAATTATAAGAAAACTCTTTTTTTAAGGAGGCACGTCATAGCATGGGCGGAGCTAGGGGTGGGTCAACCTAGACCTTGGCCCACCCCAAATTTTAAAAATGGCTTAATTTTTAAGGTAAAAAATTGGGAAATTCTATTCACAGCCACAATTTAATAAATACAGCCACAAAATTTTCATTCTTCCAATTATGTCCTTTTTATAGGTGTCAAACGGCTGCCCTCACCTTTCATTCCAGTTGCACGCATGCTTCATCACCATTCACCCCTCTGAGGCATCAATTCTCTCACTTCCACCTTCTCCCTCCATCTTTGCATTGATGCATAGGGCTTCTCCGTCCATCAATTTTATTAGCAACGTACATATCCACAACAACTCAATGAGGTAATTAAGGTAGAGTTTTTTTATCTCGACAATGAATTTCATCTTTCTCTTGTTCAAGATTTCCTTGGCAAAGTTTTTTTTAATTGAAAGATAATAATACTTCATAAAACCAAATTAATAATTAAGCTTAGTTATTTATAAGCTAGCAAGACATTTTGCAGCTAGCGGCGTGGAGTCATTTGCAGTCGCCGTCGGGGAATCCCCTCCCGGGCACACCGTCTTGCAGCCACTGTCACCAAGACATCCCCTTGCGGTCTCACACGAATTTTCCCGCCGCTTATCACCTCGGCGGCCATGAACAGATTCACAAAGAAGCTGCGAGGGAACAAAAAAAAAGAAACCATTTTTTGTGGGTTGAGAAGAAGATACGAAGCTAATTTATGAAGCTTCCTTGGCAGAGTTATTTCGGTGGCCAAGGAAGACATACGAAGTGTATATATCCATTGGCAGAATCAATGAACTCATTGCAACAAGAATTTAGCTTGACAATTTCATCGGGTGAGAAGGGTTAAGGGCGAGAAGGGTTAAGAAACTGCGGTGGATGTGATTTGCCTACGGTTCTATTAGGTTGCATATTATTAAGGACATAATAGGGATTATTAAAAATATGTGGTTCTATTCAGTAAAATGGTGGCTGTGAATAGAATTCCCCTAAAAAATTTCGTGTAAAGGTTTTTCTAAAAATATTCTTTGTCCCGACCCAGTCCGGTCCAGTGTCCTGGTTCCGCTCCTGCATCATAGTACCATGTCTTTTCCTTGAACACAAATTGAATCTTTTTCAATAAAATTGGTAGTTTTTAGTTAGACGAATTATAACGATTTTATAAGATTCATTGATTTGTATATCTTGATAGTAATTCGTAAGAATTTGAAAGCAACCATGAACAGTTTGAGTACGATACTGATTCAATGTATAATTATTTCTCTTTCATTTTACAAAAATTAAATGGTCATGTGGAATCAACTTCATATATAATTGATTGTTATCAAACACATTCAGTTGTACATTAGGTATTACAACTTCCTAAGCATGTAATGATTTTGTTTATTTTCCAATCTCGATGAGAAATGGTATGATCATCGATAAGTATACACCTTTAAATAGTCACTTTTTCTACTAATATTATGAAAACGTAATACTCCTTATATATTACTAGTAATATAGTGTGTGATAATTTGAAAATTGTGTTTTTAAAGCTATACTATCAATTAATGTTTTTGCTTATTGGATGTTTACAAAAGTTTGACAAAATATTATTCTCAATTGCTTGGATCTTTTGTAATTATATTCTATAAACATAACAAAATATTTATATATCTAATGACAAGTATTTTTGTTAGTGCGAAGTGATCTCAACTTTGTCGAACTTTGTGCTCTAAAAAATTCAACCTAAATTTTTAAAGGATGTAAATCCGGGTTGATCAAACATTCAAACTATTCGTGAGATTCTCACGAATAGTCGCATTGCACAGATAAAGTATCTAGTAATAATAATACAATATCGACAAATTCTTGCATTGTTGGTGAAACCTGTGCGCAGATGTATCCTTATATATACTCCCTCCGTCCCTAATAACTTTGCCAAATTGGACCGGCACGTGGATTAATAAAGTAAAAACTGTGTGGTTTAGGTTTGTGCAGAGGAGAGAGAATTAACTGGAACCACAAATTCTTTACTTAAATGGGAAAGTGGCAAAGTTAATGGGACATCTAAAAAAGGAAAGTTGGCAAAGTTATAAGGGACGGAGGGAGTATATAAAGAGCCTAAGGAAGTTAAGTTGGGTAATTATACGTTACTACAGTCCAACGGAAGTCTTCATATATGTGCAAGGGTCAGCTGACGGAAGTATACCGTTTTCTTCCCTCTATTTGGGCTAACGGAACTTCAAATTACCCGGAAATATTATCCTAAACGCTGACGTGCTTGACACACACAAAATATCCCTGACAAGAAAAAAATATCCTTGACATGATTCCAAGCTCCGCCGCTTGATTTCTGGAGATCGTTGGTTTTTACTGTTTACTGCTTTTTACACAAAAGTGAGATTATTTCATTTCGTCTGTTCATTGTTTCACCTTCTGCGCTTTCTTTTTCATTTCCTTATGCTTGGCGAGATCTCCATCTGTTCTTCCGACACTGTGAGTAATTTGGCCGTTTCTTTTGTGTTTGTTTCTTTTTCTGTTTGTGCCATCTTTCTTCGTCTTGCGGTTAACCCCGTTATTTTCTTGGTTTTCTGTGGTCGGGTTGGTGAGGGTGCAATTTGTTGCCAGTCTGATTGTGTTTCTGTGTTGGGGTCAGCCTTGTCGTTGGGTCGCTTGGCAAGAGGCGGCTATACGGGCAGTTCACCCAGAAAAATTAATTAACGGCTCCAAGTCTCAACGCCTCAAAGCATCCGCCGGATTGTCGAAGAGTCTAGATAGACTCAACGCTTGAACCTGCGACATGCTGCGTTTCTAGAAATCCGACCCGCCAAGTGCCTACAGGCGACTGTCCGAATGCCTCGCTCGCCTCGCCGGCCACCATCGACTGTGCGGCTCTTTTCTCTGATTTCTTCGATTTCTTTGTGAGTACATCGATTACTTCGTATAAGTGTATGGGGTATGGGGTAAAGCCTGACAGGCTGTAAAGGGCTAACAACTAAAAAAATGATTGAGTAAATAAAGAGTATAGGTGTATAACACCTTCCCTCTCTCACTAATTTCTTTTGTTTTAAATTTTTAATATAGTAGTATGATATAGTTGTAACCGGAGTAGTTTTTTATATTTTTTATAATGAATTGTGATGGTAGTGGTTTCTCATTGTTGATACTTGATATTGAACTGGGTTAAGTGTAAGTGTGGGTGAATTATGAAAGTTTTCTAATTATCAGTGTTCTGTAGGCAAAAACAAAAAATGTTTTTGTCCTGCCTTGGAGGTCTATCTGTTGCTGAGTTAGGATGTTTTTAGTAGAACTTAAGCTCTTAGTACAAATTTACCACATGCAAATGGTGGTACCAAAATAGAACATAAGCTGTTAGTACAAATTTACCACATTGTCTAAAAATTAAAACTATTTTAAATCATTACCCAACACAAAGTACAGAACCTGTGAGTTATCAAAGCATATGGTACTACTTATAAGGCTATACTATTATCACTAAAGGAGTATAGCTAAAGTTAAACAAAGTTCAACCTGCCATATGATTGATGCGCATTCTAGGGAAATGTCGGTCAATAAGTTGCAGGGGAATACATATTTTGAAATAGATGAAGAGGACAGAAGCATCTATAAGAACAGAAATAAAATGCAGCTACCAAGTGTAGCTGCCAAGTGTACCTACGTATGGAATATTATTTTCGAAAATTTCCAGTAATATTGGCTGGATAGAAAGAAAACTCCAGATGCCACATGTAATTGCGTATCTATTTTAATATTACTCAAAATCTCATAGTCAACTAACAACAGCATGAAAAATAGATACAAATTTATCTTAACATAATAGGAAATGAAAGCAACTTTTAACACAGAGGTAGCTTAATTATTAAGTTCTGAATAATGGAAAACTATATAAATTAAAAATTATAAGATGCAAAACCCACATAGCTTCAAATGAAAACTAACTTAGCTCATATGAATACGTGTGATTGAATTAAAAAACAAATTCAGCTGTAAAGCTCCACAATTTGTTTTAACCCATAACCCGATGTGTGCATTTTCTGTTTTCTGAATATAATTGAATATCATTCTCTTTCAAATTACCTCTACAATTGACACAAGATGCCATTTCATTGGCTTGGAGATTGCATCACTATGCAGAACTACGTTGTCTCTCTCTCTTTGTAAGTGTCAAATGAATTGTGAATTCCAAATTTCTTTCAAACAATATTTTCAAACTAAAGCACTTCTAAGTCGATCAAATATTTAGAATTTGCTTGGTTCATTTGGAGGGTAAGATTTATATTGCTTTTGAAAGAAAAAAAATTCTATAGGTTAGTGAGCCCTTGTAATATAAGTACTCCATCTGTCAAGAATTTATACTATCTATCTAAGTAACTAATCTATCTAAAATACTTTGGTTTTAATTCTTAGACATTGTTTTTCCTGCATGGATTTATACTAAAAACTTCTTTGTACCTTTCCCTCAAGAGGCATAGTGCAAACAAAATCTCAAGGGCCTCCGAAATGCTCAAGACACCCCTGCGCTTGGCCTTGGTTGTCGGGGGGCTTGTGTTGGGGAGCTGTGTTGGTTTTGGGAATTTACCTGTTTAATTACTGCTGGGATTCTTTTATGTGATGTTAACCCAATGGAATGGAATCTTTGTTAGCCCCCTCCAAATGCTTTGTTTGATTTTCCAGATTTGTTACTCTGTCCAGAATCATGGATTTGTTCACCACCATTAATGTGAGGCCTGCCCAGGACAATGAGGGGAATGTTACGTTCACCTATTTCCTTCATACCGTTCACGATCGGAAGCTTGTTGTTGCCATTATCACTAAAGCAGTCGGCACCCAATATGACTGCCACCCCAGCAACGACTGGCAGCGCTTTTTCATTGTTTCAGGGTTGGACAGGTTCTTGCCAACAAGATTTTGGAACAAAGCTGAGCTTGAGCAAAAACTTACCCATTTCTTGCAGCAAGGTCTTACCCTGCCTCTCCCAGCAGGTCTTGTCACAAACAGACATACAAAGCATTCACCAACATTGCTGGGACTACTTAATCCCCTACAATGTTTTCCTATTATGCTGATGTGCTACTGCTTATTTCTTGTGTTTTGTTTCACTGATGGTTCTCTACAAACAACCATGAATACTTTTAAAACTGCATTCCATTGAATGGTCTGAAATGTAAATTTACTATTTCTTGGTTTTTCTTTTCTGCATATTCTGCCCTTTTTCACAGCCCATGTTCTCCCATTGGGCATCCACCCTCGCGCGAAGCGCGTGCTAATGCTAGTTATGTCTATATGAGTCATGATTTACGGACACACATATACCGTAGTATATACTACTACGTATCGTATATAGGGAAAATAATTAACATATCCCAAACTTTGAAAGTGTGTAAGATGAACATCCCAAACCAACGTATGTAATTTAAATAGAAATAATTACATATTTATAACTAACACGTAGACTGTTTACAAAAATATGACAATTAGTACAATAGTAATAAAATTATGTGAACTTATGTTCAATTTTTAAACTTAAGTTACTATGACACTACATTGTAGTAACTAATAGTCATATTTGTGTAATTAAGTTTTATTTTAGTAATAATTTTGTTAAATCCCATTTAAATATCCCAAACTTTATATAAAAAGTTACTTTAGCACTATAATCAAGTATTACTTTTTTTTTTCAAAAATATAAGTTTACAATATGTTTATGTAAATTGCATAATTTAAAATATGTTAGAATTCATGTAGACACAATTAACATTCCAAACTTCCGTTGCAAAATAAATAATGTTACCCCCAATCTATATTATTGCAACACTCTTAATTTACAATGTTCAATTATGCAATTAACCCCATAAATATGCATATTTTTTAAAGGAATAATACATGACCGTGGGGAGAAAAAAATTATATAATGTTTGAGGTATCTAAATTACATATGCAAGTTTGGAGTGTTGACCTCACACCCCTTCAAATTTTGAGGTATTTTTATTATTTTCCCTATATTATATATACGTATTATATCATAATATAGTACGGAATATTAGATAAAAGTCATAAAACCTATGGAACAACACGATTATAGAAGGGGTTGAGTATTTTATTTTCCCTTTTAACTTTTAAAGTAAAAGTAGTGACTTGTTTTCACGTATTTGTCCTTAAATTTTAACCCCCCAGTTTTAATTTCCTTAAAATTACTGTGAAATTAAATCTACTTCATCAAAGGTAAACAAAAGAAGCATAGTTTAATAAGAGTATAAGATAGAATGGCTTAGTTTAAGAAGCATAAGAGTAGTCTTAGTACCTACTCTATCTTTTTTTTTGTGGTAACCCTGCTCTATGTTTTTAGCAATGACAAATGTATTAAATGACAACATAACTTTTACGTATTCCCTACTATTTCATCTCTACTTTCGATAAACCTAGCTCCGGTTCCAAAGTCAGACAGTACAGGACGAGAGCCCATGATTCTTTATCTGTTGCCCAAACCTTTTTTTGATTCCTAACTGGAATGGTTGGTCCATATGAGTTATAGCTTATAGGTCATACAAAATAGGATCACATTGATTCCATTTTTTTTTAATAAACTAAAAATCAGGTATGGAATTGACCCGAGAGTCGGAACAGAATCACCTAAGAATTGAACCGGCTAATACCCGGGGATGGTTCTCGCTTACCTTGACCCGGAGCTGACTGGTCTGGAACCAGACCATGCCCATTCCCGTCTCTCCTACTCTTTTCACATACTGCTTGAATTTTATTCCTGAACTACTTGAAAATCCTAGTTGGACATGTATATGCACCATTTCTTACAAAAATACACATCGACGAGCACAAACGTATATTGACAGAAAAAGTATGAATGCATACTTGTGTATATGGACCTTCTTAAGGAAAAAAGTAAGAATGCATAAGGATTTGAGGCATTTACCATGGCTTCCTTTTAAAATGATTTAAGTCGAAAACTTCAATATCATAGCCAAACCATCTAGACGTGGTTGTACATTACAGAATCCTCAATCCCATATACCAAAATTTCTTAGTGTTCCTACACCAAAATGGTCATTAGTAGAATACCTGTTATATCTTCCTTGTAGAAGTTACCTACCTAAGAAACTGCCCATCAGTGTTGGGGTTCAAATGCTTTTATCATTCATATCAGCTGTAAACTCTTGCTGGAGATGTTCCTTGGATTGGGTTTTAGCAGCCAACATAACATCATCGAGGAATCCTCTCCCTGGAAATTCTTCAGGCACAAGATCTCGGTACATCTGAAACTGCTCGTCAGCTTCCTTCTTTTTGTCAAGAAGACTGTAAACAATTCCCTGAAAGAGTCCGTGTCATGATTAGTCATTTTACTTGGATAGGCCCATTTATGTTGTGCCTGCCTTTTTATTAGCATTCAATTTGTTCTTTCTGTCTCCAGTTATGCTCTCAGATATAAATGTCCATTTCCGGACCAGGACTCTCCCTTTGAATGAATTTGTGTTTCACTTGGATGAACTAACCTTCCCATTGAAATTTTAAAAATTAGGAGAAATAAGAAAATATTCTGGATATAGCTGCCCAAAATAAGACTAAAGTCTAAAACATAACCAGTTTCTTCAAATATGACTACTATGTTTTTTATTTCTAAAATAATATCTATTTGGTCATAGTAAAAATACATCATTAATACAATAAAGAAGATCATTAAAAAGAGAAGGTCATACAAACAGAAAGATTTTGATAGTGATCATATTTGGGGAATCAAATATAGGTAAATTACTCAACATTCTTTCAAGTAAAGCACTAACCTTTGTGGTTCAAAAGAATACTACCTAGTATTAAATCTAGGCTTACTCACTCCTGCAGGATCCCCAAAGACATGGGGTTTATCTCATACTACCTCTGTCCATTGAAGGTTCCACACTTCCACGAGCTTTTTAAAGTGAAAATTAAATAGAATAATTTGAATAGATTGAAAAGTAGCTTGAGTGAGTGACTGAGTATATAAGTTAATGGGGTAATTAATAATAATGGTGTTGTTATGGTTTAATAATTTTAATATGAGCATAAGGTTGTCATTTAAGAGAGTTAATTATTTCTTAAAATGGAAATGAAAACCTCGATATGGGAGGTCAAAAAGAGGCAAGTGAGAACCATGAAACGGGATAAAGGGAGTACTTATTACTGGTTTCGTGAGCATTCACTGTGAAAAACTTTGAATTAAATATACATTCAGGAGTTCTAGGGCAATACCTAGGATAATTTCTCGTATTCTCTGCATTAGTAATTTTGCAAATATACTCATTGGTCAGAATGCTGTCTAATGATGCTTCTTCTCCTACCAGTTAACCAGTCCAATACACACACATCTCATGTTTCACTTCAGCCGACTCCAAATTACAGATAAGGCCTTGCACTAAATCTTTTGGAGTAGAATTCGGTAAACATAAAAAGTTTTTGGAACGTATCAGCAAATCATTGAAGTACCTAAGTATACGCCCTCAAATGCAGTATGTGTACTACACTCCTAATCCCCACACGTGGAGACTGGAGTTAGAAATGCCACACACTTCATAATCTTTATTTTATCTAAAGTGTTTATATTTTTATTTAATTATGCATATTGTCCAGAAGGAAACACTAAAAAAACTATACTCCATAGTGTTTTACACTTTCTCTTATAATTATTTAATATATTTCTCATTTATATTTTTTCAAACAAATCTTTACATTTTTCATATTTGTACAAACGCTACATACCTATAATTTATATTTTTTGAAGAGTGGATTGTCACTTTCCTGTTCTCTGCAATTTCAATATTTTTTAATGTGCTCATTTTTTCATTAGATGGAATGCTGATTGATCGATGGACCGGACTGACTTAAGCTTGTCCTACTTGAACTAAAACTAAGAACCATTTCACTACTAATTAGTAGGACAGACGGTTTCCCTATTAAGAGGATCAACCTCATTTTCTGAACTTAAAATGGATCCTATATATTATTACTTTATTTGTCTAACTGCGTGAAGACTGGAATGTGTAACCTAAATAGAAGAGAAGTAGCAAAATTTACCTAATACAGAACATTAAAATGCGTAGTAGCAATTTACCTGGCACAGGTAGGGGCGGAAATCTCTTGGGTTCTCTTGAACAAGATTTTTTAATTTCTCCAAAGCCTCCTGTAGTTCTCCCTGAAACAAGAATGATCAAAACATAAGAAGACCCAAAAATAAAATGCTTAACCCCACATTCGTCTTATTTTGTGCAAAAGTTTTCTTTTCAGTGGTCTACTATTTCATAATCATGGTATTATTACCTTTATTACATGCATCTGTGCAATCAATATCTTTATATTTCTTTCCTCATTGACTCTCTTTTCTCGACAAGCCACTTCAAGAGCACCATTCAGCATCTCAAATACAGCAGGGCCTTCCTGGTTCTTGTGCATAACCATTGCTAGACCCTGCAGCAGAAAATAGAGTAAAACACCAAAAACTAGGTAGTTGGACAGCATGATTATCTGGGTAGTTAAGACAAGAATCCAATTGTTATCTGGATAGCATGATTATTTCAGGATGATCAAGAATGTTTAAAGGACAAGCTATTCTATCATATACACATCACTCAATAAAGAGTGCACACTGAATTCATATTGAAATGGGGAAAAAAGAGTTACAAGTTCAAGCAATATGATAGTCCATTCGAAGTGCTTTTTTTGTTACATGTACATGTTCATAGCATATATTTGATCACAGAGAGAACTATGAAAATGAGTTTCTTCAGGACACATCAGTGTAAAATGAAAATGGCAACCAAGTAATCAACGTCAAGTTAATGTAATTTTTTTGCAAAACAAGGAAAGAACAATTAGTTTTACAGACAAAATAAGATTATAAAAAAAAGGAAATAACCAAGTGTTCTTGCTTTGCTATAAGAACACATGTTTCGCTTATATAGTTACATATATATAAAAATGCTAAATCCCTTATAACACAGTACTAAATTTACTTCAAAGTGCCAATGCACTTTTTTCTAAGAAATCAAATGTTCATGCAAATACAGCACAGAGCACAGCCAGGCATGTAAATCAGCATAGAGATTAACGAAGCATACGTGCAATGCTCTAAGTGCAGGGGAGGATCTATGTTAGGGCTATGGTGGGCTGAAGCCCAGGGCAAAGTAAAAAAAAATTAATTTTTTTAAGGTATTATTTTCACAAAATTCTATCAAGCCCAGCCCAAATTTTTCTATAGCCCAATCCAATTTTTCAGCCCAACCCATAAAACAAAATCATTCCATCTAAAAATCTAATCTAAATGTTATACGAATTACCTCCCACTTAACAAGAGGCACTTTTGTACATCGTATAAGGGCCGTAAAGCCCAAAAGGAATAAATGTAATAAAACAATAAAATATGATTCAAATATGATTCACATCAACTTGTAAAGTGTTTGAGTATATTCAAGAACATTGCCCAAAAGTGAGTTCTTGGGCAGAAGTTCATAGTGTATATAGACACTTTCCATGTTTTGAATTTGTGTTCAATTCACTTTTGATATAACGAGTATTCTTTGTCAAGACCTTCAAACAATTATTGGATATCTTGATAGCAATGAGACATGTTTCTACTACGCAACTCATTCTCGGGGAAGTGACATAAAATGGATGTGAAGGCTTTCTTGAAGAAGTCATGAATTCTAAATATATGGTCGGTCATTGCCGAAAAGAAACTACAGTTGAGCACTCATTATCACTTTGATGTTTTCAATGAGGCAATAGACTTTGTATTGTTGAAGTTAAGGACTCGGTTTAATGATAAATCAATGGATCAAACTCCTTTCTTTGAGTGCTTCATTGGATCCCGAAAGTTCATATGTGTCATTCAATGCCGATGCTATTTGTAATCTCTTGCAAGGAAGTTCTATCACGAAGGTTTTAGTAATGCTTTTGAATTCGAGCGACAACACTATGCTCATGAGGTGATTCATGATACAAAGTTTCGAGTATCTACACTTGTTGAATTATGTGAGCAGTTGACTAAGAGAAAAAGATCTGTTTCATATGTTATGATCAGCATATTGATTCGCTTTGTATTGATCTTATTGTTTTCACTACAACAATAAAATGATCATTTTCTGCCGTGAAACTTTTAAAGACAACACTCCGCGACAAAATGGATGATGACTTTTTTGTTAATTGCAATACACTTTATATTGAAAAAGGTCATACTCTTAGTATAGATGTAGACTTTATAATTGACGAGTTTTTTTGTTTCAAAGCTTCGTCGAGAACAAATTTAGTGGAGAACTCTTAGATATTTTTTGGTTTGCTTATTTTGAAAATTTTTAATGTATTATCAATTAAGTTTTTCAGCCCAGTCCAACATGAAATCCTGGATCCGCCCCTGTCTAAGTGATAAAGGGTTTTGCTTCAATATTTCCTTGAACAATCTCTTTGCCTTGCTTAATTGCCCCATAATCTCATAGCACAAAGCCTGCAACAGTCTCCACTCAATTTCCCTAGGTTGAACCTCAATCAACATCTCCACGTACTTCACAGCCTCCTTAGTCTTCCCTTTCTTCATCATTATATTAATGATCATCTTCAAAGCCTCAACATTTTTGGGGTCCTTCTCCAGCAAATTCAAATACAACGTCTCCTCGGTTTCACCAACCTGGGCCTCCGTATTTTCCTCAGCGGCCTCAACCCCACTACTACTTTGTTGAATCGGCTGCGCCACTGCCGGCCTGACCTTGAAACTCCCCAATAAAATAAATGACCCGAATATGAAAATCGCTAATTTCTCGCTGAGAAGCTTGGAAATCCTCTCCTTGGGAGTTAACGAACAGTTTGCCAGTGCGGGTTTTGATGTGGGCAATGCTGAGCGGTGAAGCTCGGGTCGGATGCGAAGGATTTCAGGGCTGCGGGCTGAGTTGAGGGAGAAGAGTTTCAGAGAATTTCGGGAAATAATGGAGGAAAAACTTCGACTTTGGTTTGGGTTCGAGTGAAGATAGAGGGGCCATCGGGAGACAGAGGAAGAACACATTTCGTCAATTTGAATATCGAATTAGAAAACGATGGATTTAAAAGTAGCGTTGTAGAATTACAGGGAAAGCATTGGGCCTCCAGATACTAGGATGACAACGGATACAACTCTACAATTTGTCCAAAAGGTTAATCCCAGCGAAGGGCTCCGGCTCCCCAATCCTGCATAAATGATCTGTCACCTCCACACGATCGCTATGAGTTTCAATTCTTGATAGCTGCGGCTACAAATCTACACGAGCATATGACAATTGGCTTACTCCTTATTCCAACGTATTTGGAAATTTTTGTACCTAGAACCAGTGGCGGAGCAAAAAAAAAGGTCTGGTGGGAGGGTCGAAAATCAACTTTATACAAAATGAAACGGTGTATCTTTTTTAGACAACGTCTGAGTTGAATATTTCATATGTAGTTTAGATAAATAGGCACTCGTAGCAATAAGAGAGATTGTCTTTGCTCTATTTCGGAGTCATGTCACGTAAGTAATGAGTTAATTATACGTTATTTTTAAAATATGGGTGAAAATCATTATTACGCATCAAATTTTGCTGATTTTACTTTTAGATAGTGCTGATTTTGTAGAAGTCATGACTTTTTACTCGTAATGAGTTATGGAGGTCATAATGTATCAAATCGAAAATATATCAGAGTTCTATACTCTCAAACTTTCAGCGAGGTCGACTGACCCCCCTGGATCCACCCCTGCCTAGAAACTATGTTACAAATATCTGACGCTTAATTCTAAATACAATATACTCTTTACTAAATAAAACTTCTAATTAAATTAAACTAGTGTAACACTCGGGACATGTCCCGGTAGTGTTAATCTGATATGGGTCAGGTGACAAATTCTAATACGTTAAATTGACAATTATGATATAATATTTTGAGTTTTTTCTTTTTATATTTTACGTTAAATTCTAACAATGACACATGGAGATTAATTTTACATAAAGGCAAAGACTACTCTTTTTTGTCTAACTTTAACTCTCAATATATTATTAATGCCAATTAAATTAATATAAGCAGTCAACATGAGAAAGATTGTATATACGGATCTCAAGATTGATTGGCAAGATACAAACTCGTATAAGATATTAACCTTCACAAAAATGTGTGGGTAAGAATGATCAATTAATAAATGATCCCTTTTAAGAGGCGGGACAACTGATCCTTTAATGAAATGCGTAAGACATGATATCTATCATTCATTTCATGAGAAGAAACTTACGTGCAATTAACATATAATAGACGTGCTTGCATTATATACATGTACATTGTTGCATGCATCCAGCCTGTATACAATACCATTGACAAGTCCCAAGTACTTCGAAAGTTCAAATTGATCGATCTCCATATATGTATTTATGATAAACCAAACTAAACTGACTAATAAAAAGGTAACAGTATGCATAGATAGATATGAGAGCAATATCATATAATCCATAAAAAATAAGATGAGGACGAGTTTGGTGAGAGAGAAAGTAGAGTGGTCATGGAGTGGAGTGGGCTTTTCGTGGTTTGGATTAGGAGTAGTTCTGACAATTATCGCCAGTTGCACTGCCACCCAAACACCGAAAAATGGTTCGACTACCCCTGATGCCGCAAGCATTTGTGCCAATGCCATTTTAATCTACGGTTACCAATGCCAGGAATACTTGGTATGTAATACGAATTAAATTATATTACCCCCTCCAATCTAACATATTTTCTAAAGATGTGTTGTTTGAGCCTTGTAGCATTGAGTTATGTCATCTATGAGTCATGTAACTCTACTCACTTCTAAATCATGTCGTGTAACAAACTATTCACATACATTTTTTGTAAAAAAAAGACCTAGAAAGTCATTGTCGGTGTCCAATTTTTTCACCTGAAATGGTATATTCCTGTGGAAAAGTACTTAATATGATCAAATTTATTAGTCACATGACTAGATCTGCAAGTGAGTAAAGGTGTAGTATTAAAAATTGACACGTGCATAAATGCAGGTCCAAATCAACAATTTTCTCAAAAGTTTCAAATAGTAAAAAAAATTATTTAGAAAATGTATAAATTAATTTGAATAGTTTTTAGAACAAACTGAAAATGATTTTGATGATGAGCACATTAACATGTCAATTAAGGAGTGTAGTGGTGACCTAATTTGTGATAAGGACCGTCATATAAAAAATGGACCAATTTTTTTCGATGTGGATAGTACCCGGTGCAAGTCTGTCAAGTACTCCTTAGTAAGCATGTTGACATGTTCCATATGATTTTTCCATTTGAGTCACCATGATACAAAGGAGTCTAAATTGCAATTTTTGTAAAAGTTTGAGAATGTTAACAATTTTTGAAAAAGTAAAATTGCCTTAAATGTCGAAAAGGGGGTGAAAGTAAAATGATATAGTGACAGTAAACTTGTACATGTAAATATGAATTTTATTTTCAGGTAAACACCGGTGACGGGTACATATTGAGTGTGCAGAGAATACCCATAGGTCGCTCAGGTGGAGATGGACCTCGCCCTCCGGTGTTGTTGCAACATGGTCTTCTTTTAGTATGTGCTCTCGTAGTCCCATTATATACTCATACTCTTTCTTAATTTTTTATGCATTTTACAACTTAATTAGAGTTCATCACCAAGTATCTTATTTATTACTATGTATTTGGAAATATATGAATCATCTTTAATTTTTATTATGTATAATTGTTTAAACTACTCATAATGTGAAACAGTTGAGATGAACTTCCACACACCAATTCTCTTATTCCATTATGTGTTTTAACTGTTACGAATAGGTTTCATCCTAAAATAATTAATATGTGTTAAATCTTATGTTACAAGTGGTCGCAACTTATATATTGTTTTGCATATCTTACTATCTATATAGGATGAAAAACTCAATGCATCCATAATATGATGCCTCGTTGGAGTAGAACAAATTTAAAGTCTGCATGGATATTGTTGATCCGTATGCATATTGTTGATCTTTATTGGGATCTAATTGCTCGATGCTATTTAGTGACCCAAATTAATACTAGGACCATATAAGTGAGACATAGTCCATACAATAAATCATCTTGATAAGAATAATAATCCAAAACTTTAGAGGTTGATTTGTATATGACCATGATAAGATAGCTGATAGTTTAACATTATCTACAAGTTTTGAAGAGAGAAGATCTTTTAAATTTGGTGTAATATGTGTAAAATTTGAGTATTGAATTTAAGAAAAATAGACAATCTAATTGTATACAAAGTATATATTGGTTAAATATATGCAGGATGGCAGGTCATGGTTCTATAACAAGCCAGAAGAAAATCTCCCAATGATTCTGGCAGATAAAGGTTATGATGTGTGGATCTCAAATACCAGGGGAACCGAATATAGCAGAAGACATCTCTACCTTGATCCCAAACAAAAGGTACTATATATGAAAAATGATGAAATAACATATGACATAAAACAATTTTTCAATAAAGATATGTCTGCATTTATTTTCATATACTTTGGAGTTGCATTGATAGGTGACAAGTATTTATTTAACGGTGAAAAGATAGATAGATTTTAATCATCTTAAATTTTGGACACATTATAATGTGATTTAAAAAGGTATTAAGCACGTTTCTTTCGGAAGACATAATACAAACTACAACATCAAATATTTAATTCTTAAATTAAATGTTTAAAATTTGGACATTTCAAATCAATTTTACGGCGTCAGAGAGATAAGAAGCAACAAGAATAATATGTTTCTCATATTCTTTTAATCATAGGGATATTGGTACTGGACATGGGACCATTTGGCGGAATATGAAATCCCAGCTGTTATAAACTTTGTTTACAATGCCACGGGCCAGAAAGTCCATTACATAGGACACGCACTGGTATGTACTGCATTACATACTATTCTATATAATAATACCTTTCCTCCTATTTAACTATCGTCAACCTTTTATTATGAATAAAAAAGAAAACATCAATTATATTAATAGTTATATTTATAATAATGTTCGTTAGATTCACATCATAAAAATATGAATTTATTGAGTAAATATTCCAAGAGATATGGGAATAATTATGAAAATATTGATAATCAATTAATTTTGTAATGTGGTCCGCTCATGTATGATTATAAGATATTGATCAGATACATTGGTGTACACAGTGCACAAGTATTATGAAAGATATATGGTATCATGGTGCGTTACCGTGTGCATTGTACTCTCTTACAGCGGAATAATTTGTAAATAAGGTTATGTTTTGTTTAACATTGTATGAAAATTATTTGTATAATTGATGTTATGTTTTTGTGTAATTGATGTTGTTAATGGTGTCAATATATATTCCTGATGAAATAAGAATAAGGCTTATTGTGTGAACGTACTTTTTTGCGCTTTCATAATATTTACCAAAATGCCGCATTGTTTATTTAGTATGGGTTTAATTTTAGCAAATTTAAAATGTGCAATAAAAGAGCTCCATTGTGAACCACACTAATTCAAATGTGAGTGTTCTCACGTTAAGCATGGTTCTCATTGGAACCGCACTCTATATATACACATATATAATGGATCAGATACAAACACCTCCTAATTTACAAACTACAAAATCATCTTAGTCATTCGATGAGTTGATCTAAAGGCCATGGAGGCATTGTGGCATTTTTGTAATGAAACCATTTTTTTGGGATATATATAACTCTTTGAACGTTAATATGCAATTGTTATTTCATGACAGAAAGTATGCAACACGTTGAACCTCAATATGCAATACACAGAGTTTAACGATGCACTATAAAACTTTTTCACAATAAACACAACTGGACATGATCTGTCCCTATATATAGAGGGCAGATCATATCAGACCGGTCTAACGAGAACCACCGTCGGGCCGAGGCCATTTGGGGCCTTTTCCGGTGAAATTGTATGATGAAATTTTTTGAGCATGTTTTTCATCAAGCCTAATTTATGCCCACCTAATCTCAGATAAAAAATCAATCGAGAAGGGAATTAAATAAAATTTTCACAAAAATTGTGCTTTATATATATAAACAACGCAGTTTTTGTAAAGAATTTATTTAACTGTCTTCCTGATTGAATTGGAAGTTGGAATTTGGTGGACATAAACTAGAGATGATAGAGAAAATGCTAAAAAAAATCATCAAACCATTCCACCTGTAAGGGCCCCAATATGCCTCAGCCAGATGATATATATACAGAATTAGGTTCAAATGAGAAAATGATCTTAGGAGAGAAATGAGAATGAATCTGAACCGTTTAGATTATATTCTGTGAAATTGAATGTGCAATAAGAGAAATTGAAACGTGTAGCACAAAAGGTATGACACGGTGACATTATATGAAGCTAAATTGTGCATTAGGTGAAACTGAAATGTGTAGAATAAAAGCTAAGATGTGGTGGCATTTTTGTACCTTTTATTCTGCATATTTTTTATTTCATGTCATTCAATTTAGCTTTTATCTTTTATTTTGCACATTTCAATTTCACCTAATGCACATTTTATT